GAAGCACAGCAAACTGGGTGAGGAGATCTGTAGTGTGTGGTGCACCGTGTGGTGTGTCCTGTGGTGTACCAAGTGGAGTGTCCTGTGGTGTGCCATGTGGTGAGGTATGCCTTGTAGTCTGTGCTGTTGTTTGTGGAGATGGGGTAGAATGATTGTGCATGGCCACATGTTCTTCATGCATGGTTGCGTATTCTTCATCACAGTTGTACACTTAACCCTCTCATGCACTAAAATTTGAGATGTTTCGCTAAGGTAGAGCTGCGTAGGGCTGCATGCATCCACAGCACGTCGTATTTCCACTGTACATGCATGCACTGACATGACATGAAACTACTGCCTCTCTGCCCTCCCGTGTGCGACCTTGGTGATCTGTGGTGTTGCAGGAATCTTCTTCCCTCTACTCATTCTTGCACTAATGCCCATCAGGAACATAGTTGCAGGGCGCATGTTCCCCAGCCCTGATCTAGCCATTTTGGATGCACACTAAGACTTATTTCTGCGCATCCTTGCTGGGGGTTTATTAGTAGGATTCTTGTAAATGTACAAAGTTAAGATATGTTTCCATGACAAAGATGCATACTGTGTCTTGAAGGTAAGTATGCAACCCCACCCATCCATTCCATGAACTCATCTAACTGCAAATGTGACCTTAGGTTGATACTAAATGTTCATGTATAAAAAGTTTAACTAAGCTATCTTACTAGATGCTCCAATTAGTATGTACACATCATCGCCCTGTATCTATATCAACTTTGGTGCAAGCACAAAATTAAACACCTCCCACGCAGGATACATCCAGCACCCAGAAAAAAACTACGTATGTACATGCTACATTTCAGCACCTAGCCGAACGTACTTTCCCCGTTGTAAACTATGTAGAGAAAACCGTCTTCGTCCTTATGGTCATCATAGATAGATGACATCAGCGCAGCTGCATCGGAAAATAAGAAAACGGTGAGTAAAAAATTGCAGTGACAGACAAAGGAACAAACGAAATAACCAATCATACCCGACGGTGGAATTGTGTTGTGAACAAACAGGAAAATCGCCTGCTCCGCCTCTAGCTTTATCCTCCTCCTAATAACAGTCATGAACTGGCTAACTGACAAGTCCGACGGCACCAGATACCTGCAAATACAGAAGCAAAGAATCAGGAACAGGAAGAACGATATACAAAACGGTACGCCATCCTGCCTATGAAGCTCACTTTTTCTTATCGATATCAGGAGCCTTGCTCCTCCTTGCCTTCTCCACAATCACCTGAAAGCGTTGAGAGTAAAAACACAATAAGCATCCGGCGAGGAGGAGAGGCACAAATGACGGACAAAGGGTGGAAACGCACAGGAATTCTATCGGGATATTTCTCCCGAATTCTTTCAGCCTCGGATTTTCTCTTCTCTGCAAAACAAAAACGCAGATATCGAAGGGATGAACGTCTTGTAAGTAAGGCGCGATAACAGGCGCAGGCGCCACAGCTTCAATCGCAAAGTCATACTGACAAGCCACACAAATACGGTACCTAGCGAGTGCTGCTTCTTGAAAGGACGTTTGTCTGACGCGGCCATATTCACAAGCGGGGAAGCGAAACCTAAACGGAAAACCAATATTCAGAGTGCCTAAACACCCTAGACTCCCGCGCCCAGCTTTCCGCCCCTGACTTCTCAGAAGCTCGAAAACGAAAACCACCGATAGAATGAAAAGCAGGGAACGGGTATCAGGGAGGGTGTGGTGTGAAAGGAAAAGCAGACTGAGGCAAAGGAGGGTAGCGTGTTGCACAAGTCGTTGTCGCGCAGCGGCAGCACAAGGTATGGATGGATGGCATGCACACAGTACATTACCATTTCACATCCATCCCGCGGGGCTGGTGGGGGTGGAGGAGGGGTCTGTCAAACCCTCGAGCTGATGTGGCACCGAGTCTGGGCAGCATCAAGGATGTCTCCACAAACCAAAGGCAGAGTGCGCATGCGATTGGTGCAAAACCCATCAGGTGATGTTACGACGCGGGACGGGCGATACGTTGGATGTGACGGGTGACGTCAGTCACCGTCGGCGCCACGCAATTCAGGACCACATACAGCAAAAAGCAGCACACTTCTCGGATAGCTCGATAAGAGGTTGAAAGTAAGGGGGATAGTGCGGCAGAGTTGAAGAGTTCTAAAAGCACGAACATTCCTGCATGGTATCTTATGGAAAAAATTATGGGGCTTACAGAGTGCCCATGCATATTCTCCAAATTTGCATTTGCAAGCATTGTTATGCAGTAATACATACTACAGACTAACGACAAATATGTTCATTTATCATTGTAATTGCTTTCTCCGCAGCTGAACGCTTAGCAGCCTTTTTTGTCGACCTCTCGTCACTGTAAGCCTCGATAATGCATTGGCATGGAAGCTGCCCCTTCACCGTTGAAATGAATCTGCGAATGGAGGGCCACGGAGGAAAAAAAATGCACAAACGCACACACAGTAATTATTAACTGCACAAAGCAATGATGGTACCATATTCCATACAGATGCCAAATTACCATATACTCACGGTGGAAGAACAGCTGGCTGAATTTCTCTGTCATATATTGGGGTGTCCATGCCCAGCTTCTGAAAGAGTTCGTTCAGAACACTACAGGGATTCAGTTGATCCACCTCTGGAGCACGAACTCCCTGGGGAGCCATCAATTCGCTATACAGCTGCTGCTGTAACGCAGCATGTTGAATCATCAAACGGGCATCTTGAGCAAGCTCGCTCCAGTCTGCAACCGAAAGAACGGCTGCCACATTGTTTGTGGCATCCACAGGGTCGGCTACTACAGGCTGATCCTGTCGTTCCGCATAGTCTAACAGTGCTCTAACGTCCCTTTCTGCATGCACAGCAAGGTCGGTTAGCGAATCTTAAGAAATCTGAAGGCAAGTTCAATTGTCATGCGTGCCCACCTTCGTAGCACCCCCCTGTCGATTCTTGCATCCAAACAACCTGAACTTGCCGACACTGCACATGACAGATTAGCTGCATAGTCGAAAGAAACAAACCTACCCCATTCAAAGGCTCCGGAATGAACAGTTCAGGCTGGCTGCAAACTGGGCCATGGGACCACGACCAATCCATAGCATAGGTGACCAAGAGCTCAAGCAGCCACGAGCTTGGCCACTTAAAAACATCGTTAACTGCTTTTCTAGACTGCTTCCAATGCTTCACGAGGACAATTCCATCCCTGCAATGACACAGCTACTGAGTGAGAACTCACCGTCAGAAACCAGAAACAACAACCTTACATTAAATCTTACCTAAGGACGCTTGTTGAGCCGATCTTCTTCCGCATAAACTCGAGCTGAAGCTTGGAGCAAGAAGCACCCCACTTCTTTCGATTCCTCGGGGTCATGAAATGCATTCGCGTCAGCCTCTCTTTGTCCATAATGCCAGCAATCAACAGATCAACAATGATTCCGTCTATCTTGAGCATTATGCGCAGCTTTCCTACATAAATGTACTCCGTATCCAGGTTGTCAAGAGCAAACGCTGCAAGGTTCTGCAAAGACAAAAGCACAAGACGAATCAGCCACATCCACCAACGTTTTCTTTGTAATGTGACATCCATCACCCGTACTAACCTCCAGCATGTTATCATAAGCGTCGACAGTGAACCTGTTGCAGATGACGACAAGGTCGACTTCTAAATTGTTCCTTATGTCGGTTCCTCGACCATGAGAGCCAGCAGAAACGATTTCTGCTAGTCCCAGGCTCTCCCTTAGCTCCTGACTTTCTCGGAGAGCCGTCGCGACCTTCCCAACGACTGTCCGTTGCCGTTCCTTGTCACTTGGGAGCGGACGAAGGCAGCGAATAACCTCCGAAAGATTAAAGGACTCCTCCCACGGCCAAAGGTCGGTTCCTGCCATTCTGTTCCTCGTCGAAGTGACTAATAGAGGTGACTCTTATAATCACCACACGCAACGAGAACTTATGGGAATTGCGGTCTTCAGAAGGAAATCCAAAAAAGCTAATGGGCAAGAAATTCAGCGTCCCAAGTTGAGGCAAGAACACAACCATGGTACGGCATTCCGAGGCGCAGCGCAAGCCCGGGAGGAAGGGTCACCAACATGTTCTCTCTCAAAGCGGCCCAGAACCTCGGAGTCCAAAATCCTGCCGGTACGTCCACGTGTATCCCTTTTCGAGGAAACCAGTTCATGCGAGTACGGATTGGTCTAGACAGAAAGCCCGTTTGACAAAGGCGGGCGTAGGCAGGGAGGCACATGCTTCCACCTCCCTAAAGCCAAGGAGAGCACGGGTGGGGTTGAAGGTGCCTATGATAGTGCATGTGGGACAACAGCTGATCATGGCGACGGGGAATGGCAAGGTGTATACAACGTCCCTGCTGCATTCTCAGCGGGGATTTTCGTGAAATGGTGAATTTGGAATTGTGAGGTTCAATCATGTCGGTTCCCGAACCGAAAAAGTTCTGTGGTTTCATGGAGTCATTCCAAACTATACATACCTCGTTGGAAGAGGTTCGGGATTTGGTAATTGCGGCCGAATTAAAGCCCAAGACCTGAATTACAAAAAAAGGAAGGCAAACTGTGCACAGTTTGCCTACCGAACCCACAGTTGACCTCCCGAGCCAGGCTGGTTACCAGAAAACATTGCGCGAAGAAACACGGAGTCGTAGAGCAGAACGGGTTTGGTTGGCAAGAGTCCCAACCACACCCTCCTGAAGGAACAAGGGATCAAAATGTGCACAGTTTGACTTCTTCGGTAAATCAGGTCGTGTGATTTCCATAGTACGCGGAGCATGCGAAGAGATAGAATAAAACGCCACTAAAGCATAGGCCATGAGCATTTTCACCTTTATTCCTAGCCCTTTCCCAAACATCGCATTAGGACTTATCGCCTTCCGCGTCCCCCACGCTTCTCCCCACCGTCTCTCACACATCTCCCCACGCACACGCCCACTCTTCCCACCGTCGCCCAAGCTTTCCCCCACCGTCGCTCACGCTTCCCCTTACCGCCGCTCACGCTTCCTCCTGCCTTCCCCCACACCGTCGCTCACGCCTTTCCCCACCTTCCCTCACGTTTCCCCTCTCATCGCCCACGATTCCTCCCGCTGTCGCCCACGCTTCCCCACCGTCGCCCACGCTTCCCCCCACCGTCGCCCATGCTTCCCCCCACCGTCGCCCACGCTTCCCCCCACCGACGCCCACGCTTCCCCCCACCGTCGCCACGCTTCCCCCCACCGTCGCCCACGCTTCCCCCCATCGTCGCCCACGCTTCCTCCCACCGTCGCCCACGCTTCTCCCCACCGTCGCCCACGCTTCTCCCCACCATCGCCCACCGCCACTGTCGCCCACGCTTGCCCTCCCATCGTCCTCGCTTAGCCTTCCCGCCGACCTCCCTTCTCTCCTCCCTCTCTCCGCGTCGTCATCACTCCCCTGCCCATCACGTTCCCCCTCTTCACCATCGCTTCTCTACCCATGCCGCCCACCCTCTCATCCCTTCCCATCGCGTGGGGTGTGGGAGGGTGCCGCGTGGTCAGCAGCACCCTTCCGTCGCATACACGTTCATTTCCCCTTCCCTCATCTCCCCATTCCTCATCTCCCCATTCCTCATCTCCCCATCCCTCATCTCCCCATCCCTCATCTCCTCATCCCTCAGCTCCCCATCCCTCAGCTCCCCAGCCCTCTCCTCCCCATCACATACCTCCCCATCCCTCATCTCCTCACCCCTCATCTCCCCATCCCTCATCTCCCCAATCCGCCTCACCCCATTCCGCCCCACCCCATTCCGCCCCACCCCTTTCTGCCCCACTCCATTCCACCCCACCCCTTTCTGCCCCACCCCATTCCGCCCCACCCCTTTCTGCCCCACCCCATTCCGCCATGCCATCCTACTTCTCATCCCCTTTTCCTCGTTTCCCCATCCCTCCTTTCCCGATCCCATCATTCTCTCTGCCAGCTTTCACCATTACACCATACGGTCATACCCCATCCCGCGACCTCCCCGTCACCTCCACCCCGTCCCCTCTCCTCCGTGCTTCTTCCCATCTTCCGCCTCGCCAAAAGGTTCGTTCTTCACCACCTCCGCTATCCATCCCTTTCTATACCCATCCCCTCCTCCCCGTCCATCCTATCCCCAACTCCTCCCCCTATCCCTCCTCTCGCGATCCCTCCTCTACCAAACCCATCGTTTTCTCATTCCCTCCTCTCCCCACCCCGTTCCTCCATGTCTCCCATCTGCCGTACCTCACCTCCATCTGTTCCCCCCATCCTCCATCCTCGTTACCTCCCTGCCACCCTCTTTCCTCCCTGCCACCCTCTTTCCTCCCCACCCTCCTCTCCAGCCTCTCTTCCTCCCCTCCCTTCTGCTTCTCCCCCAAGCGTCCTCCCTACCTCCCTTCCTCCCATCATCACTTCCTCCCTTCCTTCATTCCTGCATTCCTCACTTCGTCCCTTCCTCCGTTCCTCCCTTCCTCATTTGCCAGTTGTCATTCTTTTGCATGCTTGCTTCCCTTATACCTCAGCCACGTCAAATCTGAGTTCTTGGTTTGTGTTTGGACAGGTCTGCACTGCATCTGGTTGTGCATGTGCTGGCTGTCTGATAGTAACACGACGAATAGCCATGCCATGTATTTGATATTTTTTTTATAATACAGGATTATGAGCCTCAGAGCAGTCATACACATGACCAATACCAAGGATTTCAACAATAAATATATTACCGTATCTGTAAAGTAAGGGGAATCACCAGACTCAAGAAGGGAACAAAGCTAGGGGGTGTATGTGTAATGTTGCTTCCCGGTTTTGTCTGCTACACTGCAAGCAACAAACCAGGCCGTAAAGCCACATCTGGTGCTGGGCACCTGTAACTGCATTGGGGGGTATGGGGATGAGTGAAGGGGGAAAGACAGTAAACGGAATGAGCAGAGGGGAAGAGAAGAAGCAGCGGGGGACAGATTGAACAGAGGGGAAGAGAGGAAGCAGGGGGGAACAGAGTGAGCAGAAGTAAAGAGAGTGAGCAAGGGGGAAGAGAGTGAGCAGAGAAGAAAGGGAGGGAGCAAGGGTGAAACAGAGGGAGAAAGGGTGAGCAGGGAAGGCGATAGGGGGAAGCAGGGAAGGAGATGGGGGGAAGCAGGGAAGGAGATGGGGGGGAGCAGGGAAGGCGATGGGGGGGAGCAGGGAAGCGGATGGGGGGATGCTGGGAGGGGGACGGGGGAAGGAGGGAAGGGGACGGGGGGAAGCAGGGAAGGGGAAGGGGGAAAGCAGGGAAGGGGATGGGGGGGAGCAGGGAAGGGGTTGGGGGGAAGCAGGGAAGGGGATGGGCAGAGGCAGGGGAGGGGACGGGGGGAAGCAGGGAAGGGGATGGGGGGAGCAAGTTGGAGGATGGGGGGAAGCAGCGCAGGGGATACGAGGAAACAGGGAAGAAGGGAAGGGTGTATGTGCGGGTTGGAAAGGGGGCGTGACAAGTGTGCGAGATGGGAAGGGAGAAGGGAGGGATGGCGAGGGCAACGAGGAGTGGAAGGGAGGGCGACGGGGGGAGAGAGAGACAGGGATTGCGAGGGGACGAGCGCGTGACGAAGGGGGGCAACAGGCGGAAGGGAGGGAAAGAGAGCGTGAAGGGGGAAAGAGAGTGAGCAAGGGGTAAGAGAGTGAGCAAGGGGGGGAAGAGAGTGAGCAAGGGGGGAGAGAGTGAGTATAGGAGTGAGTAGGGAAAACAGGGGCGAGCAGAGGGGGTAGGAGAGCGTGAAGGGGGAAAATGGGTGAGAAATGGGGAAAGTGGGGTTAGAACAAGGGGAGTGAGCAGAGGGAAAGAGAATGAGGAGGGGGGAAGCGAGTGAGCAGGGGGGAAGAGAGTGAGCAGGGGGAAAGAGATTGAGTAGGGGGGAAGCGAGTGAGCAGCGGGGAAGAGAGTGAGCAGGGGAGTGAGCAAGAGAGTGTGAAAGGCAATGGGAGGGGAAGTGAAGGTGACGGGTGGGGAAGCGAGTGTGACGGGGGGGAAGCGAGTGCGGCAGGCGTGGAAGGCGACGGGAGGGGGAATTGAAGGCATCGGGGGGGAGAAGTGAAGGCGATGGGAGGGGGAAGTGAAGGCGACGGGAGGGGGAAATGAAGGTGACGGGAGGGGGAAATAAAGGCGACGGGAGGGGAAGTGAAGGCGACGAGAGAGGGAAGTGAAGGTGACGGGAGGGGGAAATGAAGGCGACGGGAGGGGGAAATGAAGGAAATGAAGGGGACGGGAGGGGGAAGTGAAGGCGACGAGAGGGGTGCGATGGTGTAAGGATTTACAAATCCTTACTGAGGCACTCGTTAGCGAGGCCATCCCGAGGGTCACGCGACGAACCTGTCCTTCCTATTTCGTCGCACCGAACCACTCCCGAGTCGGCCTCCGCTCCAATCGCAACCATCACCGAGCCATCCTCGCCCAACCTCTCCGCCTAGCTAGGACTTCCCCTATTTAGTCGTACCTTTCTCATTGATTCAGTCATTCAGTAATTCAGTACTCGATATTCGTTTTACTGCGCACTCTGCAAGTTCATTCATAACACCTGGTATCAGAGCTACTTTCCTAGCCTACCCCGCTTTTTAGAGTGTAGTACCCCTCGGGGGGGGGACGAGGAAGGATGTCTTGGGGTCCAGGAGTTGCGTAGGCCGGCCAGGAGAATGAGTTAGTTGCTCCTCGCGGCCATGGTTTTACGGGTACTCCTTCGGCACCGCCAGATCCTTACCTCGAACGGTCGCGATCGACTGTGGCCTCCCTCCCCTCGGGCAACGGGCAGCTGTAGCTGTCGCGACGTTTATGTGAGTAATTTCCGCTGCGATTTACCGACGATTTCGGAAGTTTTGTGTGGCAGCTGGCGTCAGCGGACCTGCGTCGGCACCTGCACGAAATTCGCGGAGTCGTCAACGTGTGTGGCAGTTGACGCCATCGGACCTGGGTCAACAGCTGCGCGACAATTTCGGAGTTCGTCTGATGTGGCAATTTACGACGGTGGCTCGTCGTCATTTTGCGCGCGTGACTCACGGAGTGTGGCTCGGCAGCTGGCGACAAGGAACTGTCAGATGATTATATTACTGATGCATATATTTAGGCTGTAGTGGGGTAGCCCATAGGGGGTACAACCCAATTAGGGTTGGTACTTGTACTTGTTTCATTTCATAGTGCACCCATTCTCTCTCTCTAATCTCAACATGGTATAGAGCGGGTCCTTCCTAAGGACCATTTTTTAAGGGCCCACCCACGAAATTTTCGCTGCCCGGAGCGCGCCCTTCTCTCCCCGAAGCGCGCTCCCCCTAGTCCTTCTCGCGCTGCCCTTGTGGCCCCCGCGAGTCGCGCGCGCGACCCTTTTTTTTTCGCGCGCGCGGCCTGGGCCACGTCGCGCTGGCCTTACGGCCGCGTCGCGCCGCCCTCGCGGCTCTGCTGCGTCGCGCCGCCCTCGCGGCCCCCCTAGCGCCGCCCACGCGGCCTCATCGCCTGCCTCTGCAGGCCCCAACGTCGCACCTGCCGGCCCCGCCGCTGCACCTGTCGGCCCCGCAGCTGCACCTGACGGCCCCGCCGTCCCCTTCTGACGGCCCCGCCGTCCCTTTCTGCCGGCCCCTCCGCTGCACTTGACGGCCCCGCCGTCCCCTCTGCCGGCCCCGCCGCTGCACCCGACGGCCCCGCCGTCCCCTCTGCCGGCCCCGCCGCTGCTTCAGACGGCCCCGCCGCTGCACCTGACGGCCCCGCCGTCCCCTCCGACGGCCCCGCCACTGCATCTCCCGGCCCCGCAGCTGCATCTCCCAGCAGCCGAGCCGCCCCAGCAGCCGAGCCGCCCCAGCAGCCGAGCCGCCCCAGCAGCCGTGCCGCCCCAGCAGCCGAGCCGCCCCAGCAGCCGAGCCGCCCGAGCCGCCCGAGCCGCCCGAGCCGCCGAGCCGCCCGAGCCGCCCAGCAGCCGAGCCGCCGAGCCGCCCGAGCCGCCCAGGCCGCCCGAGCCGCCCGAGCCGCCTGCACTGCCCTGTCTGGTGAGCACTGAGCTTTACTCTGCGCACTGCCCTCACCCTACTGCTGTCATGGCTACCCCCAGTGTCCTCACCTTCGACGCTGAGGGCAGAGCCATCGACTTTGACGTGTGGGTAGACGACCTGCTGCTTTTCCTACAGTGCGACAGAGCTGACGGCCTCTCTCTCTTTGATCTCACTTCTGGTGCCTCTCCCGCCCCTGCTGCTACTGAGGATGCCACTGTTCGCTCACAGTGGGCCACACGCGATGCTGCTGCACGTCTTGCTGTGCGTCGCCACCTCCCTCCCTCTGAGCGTGCGCACTTTGGGTCGTACAAGAGTGCTCAGACCTTGTACGACGTCGTTATTGCACGCTACTCCACCCCTGCCACTGCTGCACTGAGCCGCCTCATGCTACCGTACCTCTTTCCCGACCTTGCTTCTTTTGCCACAGTCGCCGACCTCATTACCCACCTGCGCACTAGTGACGCTCGCTTCCGCGCTGCGCTTCCTGCTGAGTTCTGCGCCAAGAACCCCCCCCCCCAGTACTTCACTCTCTACTACGTTGTCACCCGCCTCCCTGACTCCCTTCGCGGAGTCAGGGACGACTTACTCTCAGTCTGCCCCACCACTCTCACTGTTGACCTCCTCGAGAAGTCCCTCCTAGCAGCCGAGAAGAGCATTCTCGCTGTAGGGGCCTCTCGTGGTGACCCGCGCACCCCCATCTTTGAGGGGTGTTCCCCCTCCCCCCTCCTGCCCTCTGTCGCCTCTGCTGCTACGGCCGACCTAGTTGGTTTTGAGTCGGTCGGTGCGGCGTCTGCCCCCAGTGGGAGACGTCGCTCTGGCAAGGGCAAGGGGGGCAGGAGCGGTGGTGGAGGCGGCGGGGGCGGTGGAGGCGGCGGTGGAGGCAGCGGAGGAGGTGGGGGTGGTAGCGGGAGTGGTGGCGGGAGTGGAGGTGTCAGCGGCGGCAGTGGAGGCGGGGGTGGCAGCGGCGGTGGTGGTGGGAGTGGAGGCGGAGGCGGCGGTGGCGGCAGCAACGGTGGGAGTGGCGGTGGCAGCGGAGGTGGTGGCGGCGGCGGCGGAGGAGGCGGCGGAGGAGGTCGTGGCTCGTCGCAGAGGAGTGGCTCCGGTGGCGGTCAACGCCAGCAACAGCGGCAGCAGCGTGGTCAGGAGACCCTCTCCCCGCAGCAGCTCCGTGAGTGGTACGCTGCACGTCAGAGGGGTGGGGGTACTGGTCCGTGCACCTACGTCCTGCGCACTGGCGACCGTGCAGGTGAGCCGTGTGGTGGTCCACACTCCGCCCAGCGCTGCTTCGGCCGCCTGACTGACGCTTGGCGCCGCCAGTTTCCTGACGCCTCTGAGATCCCTCGTTGGGACCAGCTGTCTAGGGCAGGAGTAGCTATCTTTGATATTGATTTCGATGCTATTCTTGCTGCCATGTATGCTGTGACTATTAGTGAGGAGGGTGACTGTTACCGGTGTTTCCCGCCCGACCCGGGCATTGGTACTGCGGCTCTAGGTGCTGTTTAGGCTGCTGCTCCAGGTGCTGGTGAGGCTGTCGCTCTAGGTGCTAGTGAGTCTGTGTCCTCAGGTGCTGGTGAGTCTGCTCTCTCAGGTACTGCGTCGGCTCCGCCCTCTCTCACCTTCACTCTTGACTCAGGGGCGTCTCGCTCCTTCTTTCGAGACCGCACCACACTCACGCCGCTTAGTCGGCCAGTGGCGGTCTCCCTTGCGGACCCCTCTGGGGGTCCTATTCTGGCTCGCTACCCCACTGTCCTGCCGTGCCCTGCGGTCCCGTCTGGCGCCCTGTCCGGTCTCTACCTCCCCTCGTTCTCTACGAACTTGGTGGCGGGTGCTGACCTACAGGATGCAGGGGTCGACCAATTCACCCCTGCACGCCGACGGGACACCCACTGCACGGACGCGGACACGGGTCGACACTTGACCACGTTCACACGTGGGCCGGGGTCGAGCCTGTACACACTCACTGTTCCGTCTCCTCCTCCTGCGTCTGGTCAGGTAGCTGCGTCGGGTCAGGTGTTTGCTGTAGCGTCCAGGTCTGGTCCTGAGTCTGCCCCCTGCTCGTGTCGCCTCCTGTCCCACGAGACCCTCCTGTGGCACCACAGGATGGGTCACCCCTCCCTGCATCGTCTCCGGGGCATGGCCTCTCGCCTTCTTGTCTCTGGCCTTCCCCGGTCCCTCCCTCCCCTTCCTCCGGGGCCTGGCCCTCCCTGTGTCCCCTGTGTCGAGGGTCGCCTGCGGGCTACCCCTCACTCCTCCCCGTTTCCTCCGACGGAGGCCCGATGCAGACGCTTCACATGGACGTGTGGGGCCCAGCCCGCGTCCGTGGACAGGGTCACGAGCGCTACTTCCTGCTGGTGGTTGACGACTACTCGCGTTACACCACAGTCTTCCCCTTGCGCAGCAAGGGTGAGGTTACTGAGGTGTTGATCGACTGGATCCGCGCAGCTCGTCTCCAGCTCAGGCGGAGCTTCGGCTCGGACTTTCCTGTTTTGCGTCTGCACTCGGACAGAGGCGGAGAGTTCTCCTCCGGCCTTCTGCGAGCCTACTGTCGGGCACGAGGCATCCGCCAGACCTTCACGCTTCCGGACTCTCCACAGCAGAATGGGATTGCTGAGCGCCGCATCGGCATTGTCATGGACGTTGCCCGTACGTCCATGGTGCATGCGGCTGCCCCCCATTTTCTGTGGCCGTTTGCGGTTCGGTACGCCGCGCATCAGATCAACCTTCAGCCCAGGGTCTCCAGACCGGAGACCTCCCCGGCTTTGCTGTGGACGGGGAAGGTTGGCGATGCGTCGGCGTTCCGTGTCTGGGGATCTCGGGCGTTTGTCCGCGACTTGTCTGCGGACAAGCTGTCCCCTCGTGCTGCTCCTTGCGTCTTCTTGGGTTTCCCCCCTGACGCACCTGGGTGGCAGTTTTACCACCCCACCTCTCGTCGTGTTCTGTCCTCCCAGGACGTCACGTTCGACGAGTCGGTTCCCTTCTACCGGCTCTTTTTCTACTGCACTCCGTCCCTCCCCCCCCCGCCCCTCTTCCTGGTCCCAGGTCCCCCCC